CACTCTCTCACTCACTCACTCACCCATTGACCCGTCCATAACATACCCGACGTGCCGACTAAGAGGTATTTTTTTACAAAAAAATAACTCAAAAATGGCAGAAATCTCGCGTGTTCGGTTTTATCACTACGAAAACAAACATAATGTCTAAAAATAAACAAAACTCTCAACAAAGTGCAAAACACTGTGTGGCACGCTCAAATCCTAATTTTGTCTCAACCAGTGTGGTACATGTCAAGCTTAATGTGCAATATGACACGCATGCAAAAAAGATGAGTGACCAATATGGCATGGGTGTCATATAACTGCTGACTTAAAAGAAGTATTCAATGAAACAACTTCCAGGAATGGCAAGATGAGAAGTACGAAAGCATGGTAAATTTAATGAAAATGTTGACACATTTTATACCCAGCCTGTTTTACGAAGCTTGAATAGGCATAGAAGTTTGTGTACAGCGCTACACCTGTAGATAATGAACTGCACAACTCCATAATCATCCATCTGTCTTGATGATGAGCTCTATGCCTCTGCAGCTCTACAATCACACATCTCTAGATAATGAACTCTACAGCTCTATTGCTCTACTACTCTACGATCACACATTTCTCAATAATAAACCCTACGGCTCTACGGCTCTACGGCTCTACGGCTCCACAACTCTACGATCAGGTATTGTTACACAATAAACTCTATGGTTCTATGGATCTAGGGCTCTACAATCAAGCAATTCTAAATAATAAAACCCACGACTCTACTGCTCTGTGATCACACATTTCTTCATAATGAACTTTACAGCTCTACTGCTCTATGAACAAACGTTTCTTAAACATTTACATTTCTATGTACTAACATACTGAAGGAAAGCAAGTAAAATATGCAACCACACCAATGCAACTATAGGTACCCTGTTTCAAATTAAGGCTATTCACAATGTGGACAATTGTGACCAAACACATAGTATCACAGGCAAGCGTGAGTTGTTCCATAATAGTCGGTTTTTGAGGGGAACATGAACCAGCACTGTGTCAACCCTTAAAATACCTAACTACAGTAAACTGCCGTTTATAAGCCCTCCAGGATATAAGCCCACCCACCCCTTGTTACAGGCCCAACAAAATATTTCTTCTGATTATATGCTCCCCTTCTAGTTTAAAATGAAATGAATTCTATTTATAATGATGTACTAAAGCTTAATTACAACTCAGTACATCAAAAACGTATTTCGATCAATGTTGCTGTAGCTTGTTTTGAAAATTTTGCTTCGTATTCCGCTTTTACATGTACGCTGCCCCAGATAAAAGCCCCTCCATTTTTAAGCCCATCCGAAACCCTACATATGCTCTAAACAGATCTACCAACTCTTTCTGTGGAAAAAACAGATTCCACCCACTAAACAGAAACTAATGAACAAGTACCCAAACATTGCAATCACTTGGCAGAAGGTTTATTCGTTAGCCTTCCAAACCACCTTAGAATCTAAGATCAGGAAATTTCAATAAAATCTTCAATTGCATTGTCTTTACGAATAAGAAACTCAGTCATATTAGTTTGGTTGAATCACCAAGCTGTACTTTCTGTCAAGAGGTTATGGAATCTGTCAAGCATTTACTTTTCTCATGTAGGACATCTTCAGATTTCTGGAAACACATCTTGTCCTGGCTAAGAGATAATGATGTTCTTGTTGGAACAATAATATTAATGAGTCGGATTTGATCTTTAGAAAATTTGATATTGTAAATGACTTTAGTTTAATTAATCACAGTTTGTTATTAGGTGAATATTATATCTACTGTAGGAGATGTCTGAATAGCTTACCTACACTTAGAGGCTTTACAGCTAGAACAAGGCGTGTATACAATATCAAGCTCCACATTGCCAGGAAGAAAAACAAGCTCCTTGCGCATTTTCAAAAGTGGGAAAATAGAGATTACTTAATGGAAAATGCAAGCGTACGATTTTATTCACAAGTTGAGTAGTATTAGAAAACGAACAAGTGAGCCCAGCCAACAAGTGAGTTTTCTGATACGTATCAACGAGTGAATAAAAATCATACAGAGCATTTTTCATGCTGTAATATGTTTATTTCATAGGTACTGCGATTTTTTCACATAGTATTTGGTAGACACATTGCACAAATGGGGCGATGAAAAGCATAAAAATAGTTTAAAATCGCTCAACAACAACTAAGTTAATGAAAGCTTATAAAATTTACAACACTTACTGTGTTCATCATATATCAATAAGGTCAAATGTCTGTTATTAAAGGAAGCCATGCCAATAAAATACGTAATATCATGAAAATAAGTCCATATTTAGTTATTGTCAGAGTCACTTTCCAGTTCAAAGGCTTCAGACGTTTCCATCTCACCGCTTTGGAACTTGACGGATTTGTGGCTAGCATCGGAGACTGATTTATTGTGTTGATGTGATTGCTAAAATTACCAGCTTGAATAACAGCTCTGCTGAACAATGTCATTGATTCCTTACCGGTATTCTGGGAGTCGGAGGACAACTGACAGGCTGATTGAGACGAGGATGAAGCTGAGGTACCAGCCACCACACTGCTTAGCACTTTTGACATGTACATGTGTTGTTTCATTGAAACAGTACTGTACTTTTCTATTCTCCTCAAATTCTTTGCTTGGATTGAGGAACTTTTCTGGTTTTCTCAAAGACCAAGTAGTTGATTACACTGGCAGGATGGCCCTTTTTCTTCAAGTGTCATTTGAAGCTGGCAATTAAACTTTGAAGCAAAGTTGGCTTGTACTCAGTGACATCTTTAGTGCGGACAGAGATGATATTCATTCAGCTCAATGGTTGAAATACCTTCAATTTTCCTGTCTTCGTTCTTCGTTGTCAAAAATCTTTCAAGCAATCTTACATGTCGTTCAGTTTTTTGAGCAGCATTTTTGTTTTCTTGTTCTAAAATAAATTCTTCAACTGAGAAAACAGAAGTAAACCTTCCCTTGGCCATTTTTCAAAGCATGCGGGTTTTTGTGCAACAGCTCTCGGATGACGTCCTCTTCAATACGTTCATTCGACATTAGTGAAATTTTGTCATTTGAGATGCTGATTGGACGAACAAAATTTTTTCACAGTGAAATTTTGTCATACATGTTCCTGATTGGCTACATTTAGAATCAGTACGAATTTTATTTACTATGATTTTCGTAGGTAAATCTCAGTACCTGTGAAATAAAGTTAATTACTGCATTAATATAATAGATAACTCGATAGCCTCGTGTAGAAAAGCCATTGATTAGCTTTAATCAAACTCAGTAGTATCACATTTTCTATAGGGTTCAGAGTAGTTGCTGCTGTTGTTGTCTATATAGTTAAAACAACTGTAATTTGTAATTTTTTATCTCATTTTGAAAATCAATAACTAGTGAGACAATCTCAGATAGTGCAGAGTGCAATTGATAGCCCTGGCATGGTAGTCCCATAAGTATTCACCCCTGCTCGGTTCACTTCCGGTTTGTGTCTACCTTGGTAGTCTGCTAGGGCTTTTCCCCTTAGCAGTGTGTATGTTTCAAGGTTGTATTTTCATTCAAGTTCCAAAAATTATGTACAAATTACTACAGGTGTTTTCCGTTAATTTTCGTTCATTTTAAATTCAATAATACATTGAAGCAGCAAACGTGACAATTTAGTTCTTCACATCAACTTTGTAACTTGATACTTTTGTTCTCCTCGCACAGGCATGTAATATGAAACCCCTGTTTTCTCCAAAACACACGAAAGATGTGCTTGTTTTTTTGGAGATAAATGAAAGAAAGTTAAATATCTGATGTAGTGATGAAGAAACAGAACAGAAACGATGTTGTTTTACTAAAAATGCAAATTTCCCTATCACCGATGAACAAGAAATAATTTAATTATCAGATAGTCACAAAATACCACATTCTTTTTCTGTCGCCACCTTTGTTGTTAATAATAAAACAATTCAAAATTAACACACAACGATATTGATGGCTGAGAAGCGTTTCAACAAAAAGTATTGAAGATAAACAGCGCTACTTGGCTGATGTGAACGAGTCTCCTCAAAGACTGATTAAATTAATTTGCGCTTTCATTAGGTGCCACAGAGTCTGCATCAATATTTGAGCACTTTCCTGGTTTCTTTTGTCACAAATTTACAAGTTCTGGAGTATTAAAGCCACTAACTTGGGAACTTTCTGGTCTGTCTAAAGAGAATGGTACCACGAGGAGCGCAAGGGGTTACCTGAAACAAATATATAGCTTTGCGATGT